GAAGCTCTGGTGCTGAAATCCCAAGGGAGCAGAAAAGACTGTTCATGTATGTGACGACAGCTGTGCAGATGTTGTTAGCCCAGAGTTGGAAAGAAGACAAAGTCCTTACTAGAGAAGAATGGCAGGTTAAGTTGATGGACTATGCTGAAATGGCAAAGATGACCGAAAGGATCAGAAACCAGGAAGACCAAAGCTTTAATAAGGAATGGGGGGAATTTATGGTTTACCTTGGAGACCAATGTAAACAGTTAAAGTCGTTAGTGGGATTGCAATAACACTTGTAATGCAATGAGAACTATGGAGGTAATGGAGATGTAAAATACTGGATTATTATAAAAGATGCAGTAGATAAGGCTCAACAATGGAACCCACAGAGGGGGAGGGGGAAGTCCAAAGATTTGTGGGAATTTTGTACTTTTTGATGTGTTGTGGTATGATTGTAAATTTGAATATAATATATAAAACCAAATAATAATAAAAATGGGGGGGGGGAGAGAAGCTCTGAGACCGAAGTAACCATTTACTCCCTCACACCATGATCATAGCTGTCAACTCTTCCCTATTCTTGCGAGGAATCCTATTCAGAATAAGGGAATTTCCCTTTTAAAAAAGGGAAACGTTGACAGCTATGACCATGATCCTTCTCTCTGCTTGCCTGGAGGGGGCATCTCAGGCTGGAGAGGGGCCCTGAAACCTTCAAAATACAGAACATTAGCTGATGGGGATGAATGCATATTTTTAATAAAATGTTTCGGTGATGGAAGACGTGAAATGTGGCAGGGAGTCCAGATAACGAAGACGAAGCAGCATGCGCCAGAACAGACACTCCGGAAAAGAGAAAAGAAGGCGAAGAGAAAGCTCTGTGACTAGATGAGCCTCCCTTTTCAGCTGGGCAAGGCACAAAAGGTTGCCAACAAAAATGTTAGGGTTTGACAAGGCTTGGCAAAAAGAAAAGGAAAAGAAACGCCGAGGCATAAATCTGTGTTTCTGTGAATTATAAGGCCTTCCCGAAGAAGTGACAAATCCCGCCCCTCCCCTGAAGGGGGGAAAAAAAGGCATGGAAAAGCATGCGTGGCCCACAGAAAATTATTCCTTCTGGCCGGACCTGCCAAGAGAAAGGAAACATGGGGTGGGGGTGGGGGGAGAATGCACGAGAGATTTGCCAGTGCCAGACACACCATTTCATGTAATAAGCACACCTCATAAAACGTTGAAAAAAATTAATGATTGTAATATACTGTATGTATATTATAAATAGTGACTCGTTTTGAAAGCAGCAATGGTGAAATACTGCCTGAGGGACCGAAAGGTTATGGAGCTTGTGATAAAACACCCAAAGCCAAAAGACATTAATAAAATAAAACAGTAATAAGTTACTGCTTCACACTCAGGAGGGGGTTTTCATCTTCAAAACCGTTGACTAATGCTGACTTTAGCTAATAGTCCAGTTATATGATTACCAAGCTGAGGGGATCTTTCAGCCTTTTCATGTTCCACACATAACAGTGGGAGGAGAAGCAGCAGAGGCTGGTCCATTAGGATGAATGGGGCACTGCCACACCAACCTCAGTTTCCCCTCAGCTGGGACCCACCTGCCTGCCTCCTTACAGCCAGTCCAGTGTGTGGCTCTGGCTGCCATCTTCCTCCACCTTTGTTTCAGTGTTTCCCCTGTAGAACTCAGCAGGAAGGACAGGGACACAATGATACTTAATTGGTTACACCTGTCATTTAAAAAAACCCACAATATACAAATATACAGTACGTAGTGTTGGCATCCCCCCCCCCCCAATGTTTAAAGTGTGGCACTTTCTAGCGAAAGGCTGGACTGGATGGATCCCAAGCCGGAATTAAGATTGCCGGAAGAAATATCAACAACCTCAGATATGCAGATGACACAACCTTGATGGCAGAAAGTGAGGAGGAATTAAAGAACCTTTTAATGAGGGTGAAAGAGGAGCGCGCAAAATATGATCTGAAGCTCAACATCAAAAAAACGAAGATCATGGCCACTGGGCCCATCACCTCCTGGCAAATAGAAGGGGAAGAAATGGAGGCAGTGAGAGATTTTACTTTCTTGGGCTCCATGATCACTGCAGATGGTGACAGCAGTCACAAAATTAAAAGACGCCTGCTTCTTGGGAGAAAAGTGATGACAAACCTAGACAGCATCTTAAAAAGCAGAGTCATCACCTTGCCAACAAAGGTCCGTATAGTTACGTAGTGATGTATGGAAGTGAAAGCTGGACCATAAAGAAGGCTGATCGCCGAAGAATTGATGCTTTTGAATTATGGTGCTGGAGGAGACTCTTGAGAGTCCCATGGACTGCAAGAAGATCAAACGCATCCATTCTTAAGGAAATTAGCCCTGAGTTCTCACTGGAAGGACAGATCGTGAAGCTGAGGCTCCAGTACTTTGGCCACCTCATGAGAAGAGAAGATTCCCTGGAAAAGACCCTGATGTTGGGAAAGATGGAGGGCACAAGGAGAAGGGGACAACAGAGGACGAGATGGTTGGACAGTGTTCTCGAAGCTACCAGCATGAGTTTGACCAAGCTGCAGGAGGCAGTGGAAGACAGGAGTATATATATATGAGCACTGCAGAAAACCATATTTAAGCATGCGTGAAATCTGCAGACAATGAATCAGATATGTGTGATAGATGTATTGACGCATGTGTGTGACAGACAGGATACTCACCCAATATAAATGTGGAGAAAATGCAGGGAATATTGCACCGATGAGAACATTTTAATGCAAAATAATGGGCCTGGTTCTCCCCCAGTAAACTTGTCAATTTAAATTTCAGATGATTAATTAGTGTGGTAGAGGACCCAGTTGTCCACCTCCCCCTGACAAGGCTGCTTTGATTCTGGTTCATTATTGTAAAATAAAGCATTTCAGATGGCCTTTATAACACTGTGCGCAATAGATTTTGTTCATTAAATGGTAATTAATAGTTATGCATCCTTTTATACTCCAAATAAGGATCTAAATGGAGGTTTGCGTATTATACAAATATATTTAAAGTTAATTTTCTGATTAAAAGCAGATAATTAATCAACTAAGCAGTTTTCTCATCAGCCTACATTTAAAAATAACAACAGCCCAACACACAGAAATCCACATGGAATAAATTAAATATACCTTGGGAGGAAAAAGGACAGCAACATAAGAAATCCAAAATCTCAGGTTGCTTCCCCCCTTTTTTTTACTCTAAACAAACCCAACAAGCTTCTAAAGTTACAAAAAAGTGTCCCAATATGAATGAAAAGATTAAGCACGTCATTTGAAACTGGCCATATGTGTTATTATTTATGATTAGTCAAAATTTTACGTTTTGCTTACAAATCTCTTTTCTTTCCTTTCCTTTTTTTCATGTCCCTTCTAATTTCCTGAGATTAAAAGGCGGTCTTTGGAGTATATGGCTGTTTGTAATTAAATAATCCAACAGGCTACCCATGATGAACACAAAGACTACATTGTTTGTGGCTTCCCAAAGATTTTAAAAATGTGGGTTGCTGTCAGCGTAAATCCAGTTGGAGTGGTTTTTCAATCAGGTGTATGCCTGTTTGCTATTTTTATAATAATCTCAGATATACACTTTATATTTTTGTTGGTTTGTTTATTAAAACATTTGTGTCTTGTCTTACAGGACAAATGTCATTGCAAGGGGATGCACAAATACTAGCCATATCTAATGCTATGAGAATGAGCAGAAGCACGGAAGTTAGTGTACATAAATAATTTAGGTTCTTTTATTTCAGTGGGTCTACTCTGAGAAAGACTTAGATACACACAACCATATCCTTTTGACTTCAGCAAGTTAAATTTGGTTTTAAATGCCTCATGCTGTTCCTTCTGCCATAATCCTGCAGACTGGCTCAAAAGTGCTCCAAACTATGAATTACAAGGCAGTAACATGGATCCCAGGAAAGAAAATTCATCTGTCTGAAGCTCTCTGGCTTTGTATTGCAGCTCTTTTTCATCACATTTGTTCAAAGCTGACTAGAACTTCAGTAACACTTTATTTTCAGTCCGTAATGTCATCAGAGGCGTAGGAAGGTCAGGTGGTACCTGGTGCGGAAAATTTCTTGTCGTCCCCCACACACATTAATTTTTTATTTTTATTTATTTTTTGCCTACAAAAATGGTTTTATGTTATTTCTTATTTTCTTCCAAAGGAATGTGGATTCTGGGCCTTTGATAACAAGTAGGCGTCTATGGACAGATACTTAAATCTACAGGATGGATTGTGTTTTGGCTTGTGTTATCATATTTTTATTTATTGTTTGTTTGTTTGTTTGTTTGTTGTTTGTTTGTTTGTTTGTTTAATAAAGTGCACTGCAAAGTGGTTTACCAAAACAAAAAACAAAAAAACACTGCAAGAAAAATCGGCTGCGTGCAAGGGGCAGGGTGAAGGCAAGAGAAGGCAAGGCCTAATCTACTTGGCCTAGTCTCATTTTCTTCACATAAGCTGACTTTCCAGGACCCGGGAAGCCCAGCAGAGGGTAGGGCAGTAGGGTAGTTCATAAAAAACTTTTTTTAAAGAATGCCTGTTCCAAAGGTCTTTTCTTACTAAACTAGGGATTATATAGCTATATCTGAAAATTCATGCACATCAGTTAATATATTGACCCTGCTCCACTGAATTGAAATTTCAGCCTTCATGATATAGCAAAACGGCCAAGTAAACAGCTATTTTTGTGGAGGATGGTCAAGATATTAACTGATATGCATGAAATTTCACATATAGCTATATAATCCCTGGTGTAGTAAGATAAGACCTTTGGAGCAGGCATTCTTTTTAAAAAAAGTTTTTTATGAACCACCCTAGTAGGGCAGTAATTGTTCCTTGATAATTTGTCACCTCCCTCCATGATGGCACCTGGGGAGGACCGCCCCCCACCCCACCCCTTCCTACGCCCCTGAATGTCACAGAATCACAGAGTTGGAGGGAACTGTGAGGGACATCTATTCCATTGCCCTGCGTTTCAGGAATCTTTCGCCCAGTGTGGGGCACAAACCCATGACGCTGAGATTAAGAGTCTCATGCTGCACCAACTGAGCTATGCCAATATAAAATAATCCTGGATTCTGAATTTTCTGGGTGTTGGTGTTGTTGTTCCAGTGGAAAACTCCCACTGGTAGTCCAAAACACTTTGGATGACCTATCAGTGATATTCCTGGAGTGTATTTTTCATCCCTTGATGTTGGCAAAGTAAAGGTAAAGGGACCCCTGACCATTAGGTCCAGTCGTGACGGACTCTGGGGTTGCGGTGCTCATCTCGCTCTATAGGCCGAGGGAGCTGGCGTACAACTTCCGGGTCATGTGGCCAGCATGACTAAGCCGCTTCTAGCGAACCAGAGCAGCGCACGGAAATGCCGTGGCACCCTTCCTGTGGAATGTCCTCCCGTCACAAGTTAAAGAGATAAATAACTATAAACTTTTAGAAGACATCTGAAGGCAGCCTTGTATAGGGAGGTTTTTAATGTTTGATGTTTTTATTGTGTTCTTATATCTGCTGGAAGCCACTCAGAGTTGCTGGGGGAACCTAGTCAGACGGTTGGGGTACAATCTTCTTCTTCTTCTTCTTCTTCTTCTTCTTCTTCTTCTTCTTCTTCTTCTTCTCCTTCTCCTCCTCCTCCTCCTCCTCCTCCTCCTCCTCCTCCGTCTCTGTGGGAGGGATGGGCAGGGCCATAGATGAGATCTCCCAGCACTGTTATTGCTGAAACCAGGACAGTACAGGGGCAAGGTTGGGTGGGCTTCTTGAGGAACAGCCCGTTTGACACCACCCGAATCTCACTGCCATGCTGCCCCACCCCTGCACAGTATAGTGACACTTCACATGGAGACCATTTTTGCTGGCAACCAGCTCCTCAGCTGGTCTACCCTGAGCACAACATGGCTAACTCAAGTTCAGTCATTTCAGTGGATATATCTGAAGCATGATTTAGTTGGACAGAGGGGTGGAATTAGTCCCCATACATTATTATTATTATTATTATTATTATTATTATTATTATTATTATCAAAAGCCACACCCACACCAGACGTTTAAAGCACACAACATCCCTCCAAGAAACCCGGGAACTGTAGTTTGTTAAGGCTGCTGGCGAGGGCTAAACTACAGTTCCCAGCACTCTTTGGAGGAAGTGATGTGATTTAAATTTGCACTGCATATAGCTTTAAATGTCTGGTGTGGATATGGCCTAAGAGTAGCAGTTCCCAGCGTAGCACCACACTTTTTAAAGAAGCCAACACTTGGCAGAGTTTTCTTTTCCGCTGAGCTGCCATTTCCTTATTTATTATTTATCGTTTGTCCATTTATTTTTATTTCTTATATCCCACCCTTTCTCTCACGAGAGCCCAGGGCGGCTAACAATACAAACACATAAGTAAAACAAACTTTAAACCACAATACAAACGATGATACCTGATACGTAATATAATACAATCTCGCTGCATTTTTTTAAATAAAAAACCAGTGACCTACAACAAACAGAAATCCACTTGGGATCAACCCAATTCATAAACAGGATACTGGACTGAACTTTTCTTCAGAGGCTTCATTAACCCCATAAATTGCCATGGGCTGCAGGAATGTTTGCATAATTATAATCAGCCATACTTTTACCTCTGCTGTGCTGCTTTCTGCAGCTGAAGATTGTGAACAGAATCCTTTTATTAGAGATGCACGGTGACCAGAAACTTGCAGAGCAACCAAGCCATGCATGTGTGGGTTAGTGACTCAAGCATGCAGCTGAAATCCCATAGGTGGTTGCGGCCCAACCCTCAATTTGCAGTTCCTGCTGCTGTCAAACTGCCTGAGCCATTATCCCAGATCAACAGGTGCATTCAGTCCCAGCTTCTGCCTGAACTTATGCACATGCTGCTTACGGCTGCACACTGCCGAGTGCGCCCAAAGTTTTTAAAACCAGCTTCTATAAGCACAGGAATTTTCCAGTAGAGGTAAGAGCCAGCTGGATCAGGCCAATGACCTACCTTGTCAAGCATCCTGTTCTCACAGTGGCCTTCACATTTGCAGTTTTTCATCCTCACCTAAGCCTACCTGTGAAGTAGGAATGAGGGGGAACGTAGAGATACCTGTATAGTTGTCAGTTTGCATTTCTTGGTGCAGAAAGTATTGATCGGATGTGTAGAGATCTTTCCGATTCTAATTAATCCAAGAGGGTTCTGGAAGCTTCTCTGTGTGAAAGAAACAAGCAGAAGGTTCATGATGTTTGGGTTATTCCTTCAGAGAAGCTGAGTACAGCTGGCTTAAACTGGTTCTGTTATCTCTTCTGTCAAGGTCATGCTGACTATAATAGTAAGGCCAGAAGGAGCCTTGGTTTCACTTTCTCTTTCTATCTCGCTTCCTTGTGGTGTGGTGTGGTGTGGTGTGGTGTTCTGTACATAGTACGGTATACTTAGTGTTAAGGTTTAGACTTCTTATAAGTTATTGTAAGTTGTAGTCTGTTGCAACTGGATTTGTTATGGACAGTGCCAATCCTGAATGTATTGGATTTGTGACCATTATGCTCATTTGCCTTCAGTAGCAGTAAAGCTCTGCTGGATGAAATATTAATTGCCTCTGGTCTTTTTTGTGTGAATCGTGCAACGCATTTAAATTTTTACTCTGCTAACTTTACATTGGAATCTGCTCTGGATCAATTCTGAGGACAGTGGAACCTCTACTCTCGTACAGAATCCGTTTCAGAAGTCCATTCGTGAGTCGATCCAGGTCGCTGGGAGAAGTGCTGTTCTGTGCATGCGCATTCAGTGGATGCACCATTCTGCGCATGTGAAGATGGCAGCAGCTGCTTCTGCGCATTTGCAGTCGGCAGAAGCCACTTCTGTGGGTGCGCGAATTGTGGCAAACCCAGTATTTACTTCCAGGTTTGCCACGGTCGCGAGTCGGATTGTTTGCGAGTAGGGGCGGTGGTAAGTCTAGGTTGTACTGTAGAATTCAATGACAATAGTATATTTAAGTTTTCCCCTACAGGACAAATAGGGAATTCGGGGAAGTCAATGGAGAAATGGCATAAGAGGGCAGGGTGAAGGCCCTCTTCTTAGTAATAGGTGAATTTGTCATTTGTAGGTTTTCTGTTTCTCCTTTTTTTCAGCCTTAGATGAGGTTCACCGCAATATATGAAGATATATGAAGATACATTTGCAATTCTTTTTTTAAAAAGTCTACATGAAAAGTTGTATGCATTTTCGCACACATTTCTTTTAACATGCACATTTTCCCCTAGTAAATGCAATTTCCTCCTAATTAAATTAATTTTATTTTGTCCTTTATTTTCACTAAGACATGTAATTTTCCCTGTGCCTTTCTCACTAGCAGATACGTGTCTTTGCACACATTCCTTTTAGAGAAGTGGGTTGCAAAATTCAGAGAAGTGCAAATTTTGAAGTTAAATGAATTTTGGTTTGGGAAAGTGCAAATTTAGCATATGAAAATACAAACTGAGCTAATTTCTCTCCTTTCCCCAACACTGTGGACCCTATCAGATTGCCCCACCATCACCACACCATGTTGCGAAAACACTGTCAGGCAACAAAAACTACAATGTCCTATTTAATGCACCACTGCTGGACAAATAAATTGCGTTGAAGTCTCAGCAGTCAGTTATTACATCTTCAAGTTTGTCGCTTGACACAGGTGGTGGCAGAGGCAATGGTTGCTCTGTTGGACAAAGAGTATTACTTGACCATGTTTCAAAGAAATGTCTTGATTTTGGTAAGCTGTGTGGATGTGTTTCCTTCCCCCTTTTTTATGGCTTTTGGAAAGAACGCCACCGAAGAACCCTGTACGATGCAGCTGTTTGTAAGTCAACCCTCTAGTGGCCAGAAGATTAAATAAAGTTTACAGAGCCCGATGAAAGCCAATGTATTTCGGCAAGTTCTTATCTGTCTACCAATAAAAAAGCGCTTGTGTCGAAATGTGGTGCTACCTATAGAATTGCGTGTGTGAGCGTGAGCGCACACTCAGGGTGGCGACGGCAGAATGCCGTCCTGTCGAGCTTCCCAATCATGAAAGTAACATAAACAGAACAGGCGGGGCAACGCGCCTCTTGATGACTTGAAGTGGTTTCGTAAATGAAGTCCAAATATGTAATAGCTCCTCTCGGTTTTCGACAAGAAGATTTATTCAAAAATAAATTTGGCTAAGGAGGGGAGGGTGGGGGAGGGAAGAAGAGAGAGCGACAGATTTCTGAAAGCTGAATTATTGCCAAGACCAGAACAGGCAGCTTCCATAGAGACAGCTGCAACTTTTCAGGGTGTAAAGTCAGCAAATTTCCACAGTCCTTGCTGCCAGAGACCACAAAATGGTTTCAAACAACGGCTCACTTCATGAATTTTTTTTTAGATTTTTTTCTTTTTTCTTTTTTTGCTTTCTTTCTCTCTCTTTTTAAAGTGTCCTTGCTTTGCTGAGTGGGCAGTGTGCATTAAGCTCACAGATTAATGAAAATGTTTCACTGGCACAAGGTTTTATATATATATATATATTTGATTGCCTTGGTGCAAAATTGCTTGCAGATTGGAAAACAGCATGTTTCATTTCAAACTCATTCCGCTCCCATACATTAGCACTTGTCAATGTGGCCATTAAGCTCAGTCAGTGCAGAAATTTAATTACAAAACCATTTATTTTATTGAAAGAAAAATAAACCTCAGCTACCTCAAAATGCATTAGGTGGGTTCAAAACTTGTTCGGCTGATAACACCCAAGGGTAGAGAGGCTGCAGCAGAAATAATGCGCCTTTCATGTAGGGTAGGGACTCAATATTAGAAACAGCTGTCTATAAGTCACTCTTTATTTAAGTTCTATTATGAATTAAAGAACAACTGAGTTAATGAAGGAACTTTCTATAGCTGAAGTTACTCAGCTGCGATATTCATTCCGTGTGTGTGTTTCTTTGGGGATAAAAAAGGAGATTCGGATTTTAAATGCCAAGTAAGCAAACAGAATACTTTTCTGCTTGGGGATAGCCTCCAACTCGCAATGGGGGAGAAATTCAGTTCAGATTACATTTAAAGGCAACCCTACCTAATTCGCGTTTCCGAAACAATACGCAAACCAGAGCGCAGCTGTCCTTCAAACTTTGCACTTGTCCGAATTTTGCAGTGTGGTTCTCCAGTTAGTTAATGTGTAAAAAATAATAATACATATACTGCATGCAAGAATGTGGGTTTGGAGAAATTAGCACTAAAATGCTGATGCATTTTCAGGAGGGCTTAAAAAATTTAAAATCAGAAACTGATGCAGAAATGCAGAGACCTAAACTGAAGACTGAAAAAATTAGAAGCCAAAATGGACGGAATCAGCCATCTGTACCTCTAAGCATCCCGGCCATTTTAGGTCCATTCTTTACCTCCGTTCCCTTACTTGAAGAATATAAAATCTCTGGTAAGGAAGGAAGTAATAATAATTTGCTAAACATATCAAAAAGAAGAAGAAGAAGAAGAAGAAGAAGAAGAAGAAGAAGAAGAAGAAGAAGAAGAAGGAGGAGAAGAAAGCTGACTCTTATTTCTGTCTCTACTAGACTATCATGCATTATAGGTGATTGGTAACGCTGAAAGATCTCTGACTATATGATAGATTTGGATCAAGCAACACTGTTGTCACAGTACAAACTGCCTTGTCTTGCTATTAATGAGCTGCCAATAACATGTTTGTTTGACTGTTCCCATTGAAGAAGGCAACATAGAGATTTGGACTGATTTGTCAATTTAAAATACAACCCCCAACACCATGGTCTGAGCTCTCTGCTTGGGAGGAAGGGGCGTAGCTCAGGGGTATATCATCTGCCTTGCATGCAGAAAGTCCCAGTTTCAATTCTTGGCATCTCTGGGGAGGGGTGGAAAAGATTCCCTTCCTGAAACCCTGAAGAACTGCTGTCAGTCAGTGTAGACAATACTGAGTTAGATCAGTTGAGCAAATTCTAAAGCTATCTCTCTTGTACAACAGAAAAGAACCATGATGATGTGTCAGTTTTGGAGTCGGCAGCATCTTTGTGGATTATTTTTTTAAAAAAGCTCTTCTACACTCTGCTGATCTTCCCACAAGTTGGTGCAACATAGTAGTTAAGAGGCGAACAAGATAATACAGTCGTACCTTGTTTTGCAACTGGGATCCGTTCCAGAGCCCTGGCCGCTAGCCAAAAAGGACTCAGGGCAAAGCGCTGTGTCTGTGCACATGCGCGGAGCAGTGTGTGCTTCTGCACATGCGCAAAGCGCAATTTAGCGCTTCTGTACATGTGCAAGCAGCAAACCCGGAAGTAACCTGTTCTGGTACTTCCGGGTTTGCCGCAGACGTTCGCAGGAATGGATGCTAGACGAGGCGGATGTTCGCAGAGGTATTACTGTATGTGAAAAGAGTGGCTGGATTTCCAGTATCTGGTGACCATCACAGTACTTTTTAACTACAAATCCTGCCTCTCTCATAACACTAGAAGCAGTGGGCATCCAATGGAGTTGAAGGTTGGAAGATTCAGGGCTGATAAAGGAATGGGAATTTTTTAGAGCTGGCCATTTGTGCTGATAATCCAAGCACACATGGTGGAGACAAGACCAAAAAAAAAAAGTAAAATAAAGTACAAACATTCTTGAATTGGGTCACCGAGGTGAGATTGAGATCCAATGGAGAAAGGGAGGAAAGCTTGTAAAAATGCAAGCAGGACGAGCCCCAAGGAGAACTAATGCACTGTGAGCCAGGAGGGATTTTCATGAAAGCTCGGGCAATATACTGCTTGTTGGAGACACTCTAGAAGATCACGTCTCACTTAATAAAATGGCATGCCAGCATCGTGTGCTCCCCTCTTATCCCAGCCTCTACACCGGCAGAATTGACTGTCTCCTTTTAAGGGTTTTGCAGGCATTTGCCAATTACAAGGACAGAGCTCCATCCAACCAACAATAAGCACTTTTAAGTTCTCTTGGCTTCGGTGGAAGAGGTAAGTGGATGCTCAGCTGGGAGTCATACTGTTTTGCTCTCCATCAAACTCCTGGATTTCAAGATTCATAAGATTTGCCTATATCATATCATGCATGTTTATAAGATATGTGTGTTTTGATGTAACCTTGTTACACATGGTTCATGCATGTATGCTCCAGATGTATGCTACATATGGAAACATGGTTGTATGTGGGTATTGGCTTTACGTAATATTGTTACGCACGGTAATTATTGGGTTGTAAGTCATATAAAGTGTTCATTGACAAAATAAAATGGGGTATCTGCCGGAAACTAAACTGAGAGTATTACAAAAAATGCAAAGCAACTCTCTGAACAATGTGTAATAGTGGGTTTAATAAATGTTTAAAATAATGCAATAAATGTTTTGTTTAAGTTAGGGCTATGGATGTTGCTATGGATGTTGTCAGGCACACCCCCTCTGTGGAAGCTTCTTGTACATAGGGGCCTATTGATGGGTGGAGAAGCAACTTCCACTAATACAATGCACATCATTGTATTCACTAATATATGCATTTAAATACACACTTCACTATTGTATATGTATTTTTGTACACATTAACTGGCTGGAGAACTGCACTGAAAAAATTGGAAAAACGCAAATTTCAAAAGATGGCTGTCTTTCAGTTTGCATATTGTTTCAGAAGGTTAGGATTTGCCAGGGTTGCCTTTGAATGTGAACCAAATCAATTTTCTTCCCCAACCCTAGGAATTAAATGTCTCCTTCTTCTGCCCTCCTTAAAGGTGGTGGCAGCAGAGGAAAGTAGCAGGTGTCTGAGTGTTCTTCCTGATGCAGTAGGTATTCTTGCTGCCACTCCTGGGGGCAGGTGTTTATGTTCTCTCCACATTTCTTCACCAAAAAGCCAAATACCTTTGAGCACAATAACATAGGAAGCGACCAGTGCTATTTTTCTAGAAAAAGAGGTGCCAGAACTCACCATGAATGCCTCCCTTGTCCTCTTGTAATGGCAATGGCGCCCACTTGAGAGGTGCTGGAACTGGGTTCCAGTGAGTTCTGGCTGAAAAAAGCCCTGGAAGTGACCTCATACTGAGCTAGTCAGATCACAGGCCCTTCTACAACAACATTGCCAACACTGACTGGCAACAGCTATTCAGGATTTGAGACAGGTGATTCTCCTAATCCTTTCTGGAGATGCTCAGGATTAGGCCAAGGACTTTCTGCAAGCAAAGCAGATGTTCTGCCTCTCACCTACACATTCAAAGTGCTTGTGGTGCAACAGCTATCCATCGTTATCTACTTTTGAAGACTTAGCTTTGAGCAGAACGCTATCAGAGCATAGCAACCTGGCAGCTGTCAGTCCCATGAATTCTCTTACAGGCTCTGAAGCACAACCAAGCAAGTGCCTGCATGTTAGAACATGGCAGCCTGACAGCTGTCACTTGTGGAAGATGTCAGTTCCCCAGCCTGTTCAAGGTCTTCAGCTGACTTTGGCAAGGCAGCATAAGCCTCTGAAGTGTCATGGCTGTCTGTTGAGAAAGCTGGACAGACTGAAAATTCTTCAGGGCACGCATGTAGCTAATGCCACATGTAGATAATAGCCAGGTTTGTTCCACAACATGAGAACTGAATGACAAACCCAAAATACTGCATTTGGGACTTCAGGCCAGAGGTGCAAGACAGTTTTCATGGTGAGTGAAAGTTATTAACACAGGAAGGTCTGCTGCAGTAATGAAACAACAGAGCAAGCTGCTTTATGGTAATGAGATGTGGGCAGCTTACACTTGCTAGGAGCAATGTCTCAATGCCTTCCACAAGTGTTGCATCAAGAAGATTTTGAACATCACAGGGCAGGACAGAATCAAAGATGTGCTCTCCCAAGCCTACATTCCCAGCATGTTTGCACTTCTGTGTCAGCAATGTCTACACTGACTTGGTCATGAATGGAGTGGAAGATGGCAAGATCCCCAGGGACATGCTCTATGAGAAGCTGGGACTAGGCCCACTGGCAGACCAACTCTGGGTTACAAAGGTGTCTGCAAACGTGACATGAAGACTGGCAACATCAACCCCGCGGTGTGGGAATCCCTTGCAGACGACCACAGTGCCAAAAGACAGCCAGTCAGGTGGCACATTCACAGCAGTGACCAGTGGAAGGAGCACAGAAAGAATAAATGCCATGAAACACCTGCGTCAGCACAACCAGAAGCCTTCATCGGCCCCAGCTGCAACAAACATATCTCTCCCATATCGGTCTCAGCAGCCACAGAAGGCACTATAACACTCTGACAGTTTGACTTCACCCCCAATGGCTCACTCCTCCATTGTCTCCTGAGACAGATGAATGCCAACTAGACAAAAACCTAAACAGCAGACCAAGATCTGCACAGATTAAAATGCCTAGATAAATAAAAATGTGTTTTGCCGGGTATGAACCACATTGTAATATTGGTGCCAGGCCAAACTAAAACTTGGGGAGTGCTCAGATAAAGTAAAAAAGGCCATCTAAATAGTATTATTTTATTTCTCCAAAGTGCTTCTGACCACGGGCTCTATTGATCACTTTCCTTAACAGCATGGATGCTCTTCAGACGTTGCTGGACTCCCATCATCCCTGATCTTTAGACATGGTGGAGAATTTTGTGAGACTATTTGTACACAGCTCTATTAAAGACCTAGCAGATCATGCATCCCAACCCTACAGCTTGCAAGGCACTTTGAGTTTGAAACCTTTGGCTGGACTCTGCAAGTTCTGACAAATTCACACCCTCTTGGCCACCGTGGCACCAGAGTTTAATGTAAAACCTCAAGAAACATTTTGCAATATGAGCTTAGCTGCATCTGGAAAATACTTCAGACAGTATACACACAGACACACACATATACAGTATTAAGTGCAAACACATTCCCATAACACATGAGCTAGGGACAAGTGGAGAAAATCCTTACTGACAAGAGCTTTAAAGCTCAGCTGTTTGTCATCCCAAAAGGTTGTTGTTGTTGCAAAATTTACTGCCAGATACTTTTGAAGGGCTTAACAAGATTGCAAAGCCATTGACTATCAAGCAGATCTTAAAAGTTGCAGAGAAAGTATGGGACTTGATACATTGAAAAGTGACAAGACCATCAGGTCTAATCCTTACCTTGGAGTAAAGCCCACTGAACTCAATAGGACTTACTTATGCATAATCTATGTTTGCACTATTTATCTCTAAAACCACAAGAGTGAATGAAAATAGATCTTCAATTGGCTTCAGGGAGACTAAGGCCCATAATCCTATACCTGCTCACCTGGTTCATATAGCTTAATGGTCCTTACGTCAGAGCGGGCGTGTATAGGAGTACACAACTAACACAGCAATCCAAACTGGGACGGGGATTAGCGGGGCAGGGCAGAATGAATCAGTGGACCCACCATTGCATCTGAAGTCTGTTAGGGGGCCAGGACCAAAGTTGGGGTGTTGTGGGGGGAATCCATGGGGCTTAGGATCCAGTGTTTCAAAAGCTGCCGGGGCTCTCCTCTGGAATGCCCTGTTTTGAGGCTGTGCTCTACTGCTGGTGAGATAACTGTCGGTGGACGCTTACCACCTGCCTGGGTGACATTTAGGACATCCATCATGGAACAGCCATCTCTCCACCAGCAGAGGCCAACAGAGAGCAACCTACACACCAAGAGCCAATGTGGTGTAGTGGTTAAGAGCAGCTGACTCGTAATTTGGTGAACCGGGTTTGATTCCCTGCTCCTCCACATGCAGCTGCTGGGTGACCTTGGGCTAGTCACACTTCTCTGAAGTCTCTCAGCCTCACTCACCGCACAGAGTGTTTGTTGTGGGGGAGGAAGGGAAAGGAGAATGTTAGCCGCATTGAGACTCCTTCGGGTAGTGATAAAGCGGGATATCAAATCCAACTCTTCTTCTTC